GGTTGCATGAAAACAACACCAACTGCAGCAATGAAGATGGCCCTGCAGATCTTACCTCTAGACCTACACATACAGCAGGAGGCAGCCCTAGCTGCTATCAGGCTTATGGTACTGGATCTATGGGGAAAAAATCACTATAGTGCACACACAGCGATTCTCAACAGGGCGATAGAGTATCAACCTCTTATAGCTGCGCCCTGTGATAGAATCACTTACCAACTAATGTTTAACAGGAAATACCACATACAACTGAGAGAAGAGGAACATGATCGGTCGACCATGAATGAGCTACGTATATATACAGATGGATCTAAAACAAGGTCTGGCTCAGGCGCTGGCATATTCTCTCTTGATCTCAACATCAACATACACCTACCCCTGGGCACACAGAGCACGATCTTTCAATGTGAATGTGTCGCCTTAACCGTAGCAGCCAGAGCCGTGCAACGTCGGGGGATTAATGACTTTGCATTAAATTCGTATCCGACAGTGCATCCGTGCTGATGGCGCTTGGAAACAAAAAACCAACAGCAAACTAATACTGGAGTGTCATGAAGCACTGGAGGCCATAACCCGAATCAATATTGTTACCTTGCAGTGGATAAAGGGACACAGTGGATCTCTCGGCAATGATGCTGCTGACGAGCTTGCGAGAAGAGGCTCCGGAATGATGCTTGCTGGCCCGTATCCGCTCCTCCCCTTGCCCTTCTCGCTGGTGCGAACCTGGATTCACCAGAGATCCGCTGAACTCCAGCAACAACGATGGTCGCATAGTGCGGTCTGCAAACAGTCCAAAATGGCTCTGCCAGCAGTGAACCCGCAACTGACAAAGCGACTACTAAGCTTAAATAGAACCAACCTTAAAACAATGATAGGGACAATAACGGGTCATTGCCTCCTAAATAAACATCTTTTTGTCCTAGGCGTGACAGACAGCCCCCTTTGCAGAGGCTGTTTCAGCGCAGTGGAAACAGTCACCCACGTAGTCCTGGAATGCGTAACTCTGGCAAATCAACGTGAAAAAATCCTCGGAACGGTGAGGTCGCTCCGGGAAGCCTGTGAAGTGCCCAGGAGACTTCTGTGCTATTGGAAGGAGCTAGGCTGGCTAAATTAGCCAGGACTCGTACGCACCACGGACCAATTAGGAGTCTAATTGCGGAGAAAGGAGTCCAACTACCCTATACCCTCGTACATATCATGTCAAACTTTATTAAATTTATATCGACTACAGTGTCTCACGCAAATAATCATTTTTTGAATAATAGATTTGTAATGTTTTAAACGTTTGTGTAATATGTTTTTAATATTTGTGTAATATTGACCATCCCTTGTGATGGGCTCCAGGTTGGATATACCAACCAGAGACTTCTTGGCCTCGCACTAAAACCGAACTCGTTGAGCCTCTTCCGGGATTAAGAGTTATTACTCTTGTCGTTCAGGATTTGGTAGGAAGTTTAGACCTGTTACTCACAAGGTATACTTCATTAGACAAATTGATTGGAGTGACCGCCTGGATTACGAGGTTTATTTTTAATTCAAGGAATCTATCAATTAAGAATATATCAAATGTATTATAACCAGATGAAAGGAACGAAACCGAACGAACGATATTTTTCTGGGTTCTTTATATCCAAGCCAAGCATGTTGAAACAGTCTTTGCTCCTCTAAAAGGACAAGGTAAACTAAAAGGATCAGTTGCTAGACCAAATCCGTTTGTGAGATTTGATTATTACTGGCAGACAATAATAATGCACGTTGGTTTAAATGCACTTTTGGCTATTATTCACCAACAATATTGGATTTTGTCAGCCAGGAGGGCTATTGGAAATGTTATTTTCAAGTGTATTACTTGTTATTGTTTTAAAGCATCATTGACTCATTCTCAAATGGGAGATTTGCCTCCAGATCGGATTACCGCTGCTAGACCCTTCTCAGGTGTAGGGACCGATTTTGCTGGGCCATATTCCATCAAGGTTTCATCAATACGAAACGACAAGAGCTTAAAACGTATCAGGTACCTCTGTGTTTTTGACTACCTTGTTACAAAATTTGTACACCTGGAAGTGTTGTCATAACTCAGTACTAAAGCTTTTATCGCTTGTTTCGGAGTCGTCGAGGCTTACCAATTTTGATTCATTTCAACTGCGGGGACTTTCTTTAAGGGGGACAAACTTAAAGGGGAGCGAACATTATCTTCTAGGGAAGTTTGATTTGAGATTGTAAAGTTTCAAGACACAATATGGCAAGTTACAGACGGCTCTCGCAAGGTTTCGCAGTATAGACTTAGGTCATTGTCTGTATTATAACGGATGCTGTAGAAATCAACTCAACGAGGCATGACAGTACATATTTAGTGTGAGTGCGTTAATATTCTTACACTTGGCCTGTACTGTCTTGCCTAGCTTGTTCTCTGCATCAAGTTTTGAATCTAAAATATGCAATTTCATCAAGTTATATTTTGTTTTGTATTTAAATTGTTAATCATTGTTAAATTTCAGGACACAATATGACAAGCTACACACGGCTCATGCAAGGTTTCGAAGTATAGACTTGGATCATTGTCTGTAGTATAACCGGTGCATCTACCAGCGAGGCATTAGGTCCCAATTCGAGTACGAGTGTGTTAATATTTTCGCGCTTGACCTGTGATCTCTTGCCTAGCTGGTTTTCGAAATAAATTATTGAATCTAAAACATGCGATTTTTTCAAGCTATATTTTGTTTTGTATTTAAATTGTTAGTCATTGTTAAATTTCAGGACACAATATGACAAGCTACACACGGCTCATGCAAGGTTTCGAAGTATAGACTTGGATCATTGTCTGTAGTATAACCGGTGCATCTACCAGCGAGGCATTTGGTCACAATTTAAGTACGAGTGTGTTAATATTTTCGCGCTTGACCTGTGATCTCTTGCCTAGCTGGTTTTCGAAATCAAATTTGAATCTAAAATATGCAATTTCATCACGCTATATTTTGTTTTGTATTTAAATTGTTAATCTTTGTAAAATTTCAGAACACAATATGGCAAGGTACAGCTGGCTCTCGCAAGGTTTCGAAGTATAGACTTGGATCATTGTCTGTAGTATAACCGGTGCATCCACTAAGCGAGGCAATAGGGTCACAAGTCAAGAACGAGTGTGTTAATATTTTCGCGCTTGACCTGTAATCTCTTGCCTAGCTTGTTTTCGAAATCAAGTTTTGAATCTAAAACATGCGATTTTTTCAAGCTATATTTTGTTTTGTATTATAGGGTTCGATGTTGTTGTATATAACCACTATGTAAATAATAATACTTGTGTGATCGTTGAATGTATATATTTTGCGTAAATATATACCGCGGCGTCGGCAGCGAGTTGTACGTGTGTCTCGTATGATATCGTGAGCCGTACTAACTGAAGGAGCGCGCTGTGGAATGCGCGTACGCCTCGCCCCCACCAGCCGCGGAGAACAATAGACACGGTTTACATGATAAAGTTGGTAAGTACATTTTTGCAATTTAATATTTAATTTATTTTGGTAATTTTATTGATGTTTTTATTTGTTCTGTTTCAGCTACCGATGACGACGAACCGCCACATCACTCCCCTGCCGAGACCGATTCACGGTCGATAGTAGTCCGGAAACTTAACTAATCTTCCACTTCTAGTCTTTTTTTCAGGTGGCGTTGCATCGTGATTGGTGTGGAGTGGCAGTGTGGTCATCGGTGGACGGATGGTCGTGTCGTATTCTCTGTTTTCTTTCGTAAGGTATGCTGGTTTTATTCTGTCTATTCTTACTGTAACTTCTTTGCCTTTTATGTCTTATGAAAATGTTTTTGTATTTCTTTTCAGAACTTTATATGGGCCGGTATATGGTGATTCAAGCGATCGTTTTGGGGACCACGGCGAAGAAAAACAAACTGTGCAGTATGTATGTCATTCGGCAAATAGAATGTTTTACTGTTGTGGTTTGATGCAGGAGTTGGGGTTAATGCTGCCATATGATTTCTCAAGCGAGCTGTATAGTCTGCTGGATTTAGGTTCTGGTCAAGCGAAGGTGAGAAAAATTGTCCCGGTAGTCGTAGTGGTTCTCCATATACTAGCTCTGCGGCTGATGCTGATGTATACGTTCATGTGACTTATTCATTTTAATATATTTCTCAAGTTTCATTATTTATCTCTTGGGCGATGATAGGGTTGCAGTTCCAATGTATCTGGCTTATGCATAAAATCTGTGTCATCACATCGTCGAAGTTGTCATCAATTATTTGAATTACTTCATTACTATTTGATTTCTTCTTGTATACCTCTTTTAATCATCATTTTCTCATATCTTCGTTTGGTAAATGTTCTTTGTAAGTGGGTATCATGTTATTGCATGATTGAACTGAGTGTTTAATTTAAAGTTGTTCATCGTAACTATTGATGTATCGTCTTATTCGTGACTCATTAGTTAGTATGTCCATTTGTGGTTGTCAAACATCTGTTTTTCCTACCTACCTTTTACTTTCAATCAAGAGGCGCTACAACTTCACATAAAAATAAATTGCTTTTTTTGTTGGTATTTTTTAAGTTTATAAATAAAAATATAGGTGATTAGCCTTCTGTGTAGATTATTGGCTATAAAACAATCCAATATTGTTGTATAGCCAATAATATTGTGTACTTATCGCATGTATGTATTATGTAGCACATACGATCATGAATTAAGTGTCATGTAAAACCTATTAATAAACCCCAAAGCCGGGATTTGAACCCATGACTTGAAGTTAACAAATCAAAATCCTTTGTGTCAATTTTTATGAATATTTTCAGTATACGAAGAAATCAACCATCCAATCTAAAAATCGACGATAATCGAGGACAAAAAATAAACAAATATAATTTATTGAAACTTATACCTTATCTGTAATAATGTCTACAAAAAAAACATTTGTAGTCACGTCATTTTTATTTGTATTTATATCCTACGTTTTTCATTCAGTGGCTTGCTGTTGTGTCCCTTGCCGTTCTCTATAATATGGTTTTCGTGATTGGCCGAGCTGTGTTCTGGGAGCTTGACAAGGCTTCCACTTCCTGGTTCGCGCTTGACTACCTCTGCGACGCTATTTATTTGATTGACACCACTATTCACATGCACGAAGGTGAGTAATTGTTTTTATTATAACAGCAAAATCGTATTAATGTAAAAACAACAGACTGGCAATTAACCTCAGTTTATCATCTGAGTAATTATTTATTTTAGCAGAATTATCTTATTTTACATGTTATTGTAAATGATATTACGTCTTACGATAGTGACGTAAAACTAAGTCGTTTAGAGCTTGCGTTTGACATTTTTAATTCTAATAAAGTTGGCGTTGAACCCCGAAGGACTTGTAACTTAGAAGATAAGCAAATGCAGGCACGAGGCAAATATGCGAATTAATATAAAATAAGGAAAGTTAACATGAAAAATGTTAACAGTTGTGTTTGTATATTTTGCGACATGTTAATATGTCGAATGTAATGACATCCTGATTGCGGAAATGTTATATATATTTATGTAGCATTTAATTATGAAAGAATGTTATTTGTTTGTTTCGGTATTAAAGCGATTTATCGATGTAATTCCAATTGCATCAAATATTCGATGAGTATTTTACACAAATAGTTTGTAAAACCTATTTTCATACACGAATTACAAATCAGAGGGAATAGTTTTTGTATATACGGTAAGAATGTAATTAAAGATTTTGTGTTTTTATATTTTTATATTTTTAGTAACACAAAATTTTTAATTGAACCTTGAGAAACGATTTTAATTGAACCTTAAAATCTATTCTTAGTTTAAGCTCATAATTGAGTTTAGAAAACATTTTAAGTGCATTTCAATGCAGACTTTCTGAAAATATTCATCAACACACGAAGATTCACTAAAAAGCACTCTCACTGGCACTCTTTTATATTTAACCAGCTATGGCAAATATAATGCTTTTTTCCGTTAACGTTATATTTAAACAAGCTATATTAAGATTGTCGACTGAAGACAAGTTGAAATCTTTTTCGACAGTCACATGTGTAGATTACCACCACTATCCCGCATTTTTCCCAGTATGCCTTAGTGTATCACAAATCAACAATTTGGCACCTACACGCGTCGTTCGCTGGGCGCGCCTTGCGTCATCAAATTTAGCTAACGTGTAGGTAAACATTTCAACCAGACTGCTTTTTTCTGCGTAAATATTGCACTCATCGCACAAGGTACACGGAGCCGTGAAGAAGGTAAAGACTGCTGGAGCTTGGAACATATTATTTATTAGGGAAGTTAATTTTTGACAAGCATGACTTAGCTTTACCGCTTGGCGATTTAATGATGCCCGAGAGATTGGAGGCGATTTGAGAGGAACTTGCTATTTATGCGACTTATTTTTAACTTTGATTCATTTGTTGTACGTAGTTTGATTACAATTTGATATTGTGTAAATTGTTTTTGCTTGCGTATTTATTATATATTAATTTTGCAGGCGATGTATTATATAATTTGAGATTTTGACCTAAACATGTTAAAGTATTTATAAATTTACATACATATTACAATTTCAGGCTATTTAGAACAAGGGATTATGGTAAGGGACGCCAGGATGCTACGCCAGAATTACATGAAGTCCGATTGGTGGCCATATGATTTCATTTCTTTAATTCCAACTGACATCGCTTATTATTGGTGGCCGCCGGGAAATTGTGACTTTGTAAGTATTTTTATTCAACCTTAGTTTATTTTATTACCATTAATTAATTTTGTCTTACTCATCTTTTTACAATACACTACAAAATATGTCCAACGTGATAACGTGGAGTAACATTCCAACCAAATACATTCTTCACCTTAGTTATTACTATGTCAATATTGGTTTCAGGATCGTTTGCCGTGCCCTGTTATTGTCCGACTCAATCGTTTGTTTCGACTGCCCCGCATGTGGGAGTGGTTCGATCGTACCGAGACCGCCACAAGCTTTCCGAATGCCTTCAGAATTTGCAAGGTTTGTTTTTTTTGTCATTATATATAAAACTAATAATATTATACATAACTATACCGTATATGGACGATATGAAAAATGTTGAATGTTTTTTTTTTTATTTACAGGTCGTCATGGCTATTTTAGTACTTATTCATTGGAATGCATGTCTTTTTTTTGCTATCAGTTATGCAATTGGGTTCGGAACAGATAATTGGGTATACAATATAACAGGCTCGCGCAATGAAACTTTGGCTCATCAATATATTTATAGTTTTTATTGGTCAACTTTGACCCTCACCACTATCGGTGAAACACCCCAACCCGAAATTGATGTCGAATACATTTTTGTCGTCTTAGACTTTTTGGCGGGAGTGTTAATTTTCGCAACAATCGTTGGTAATATTGGATCGATGATTTCAAATATGAACGTTGTTAGAGTTTAATTTCAAAACAAAATGGATGGAGTAAAACAATATATGGCGTTTAGAAAGGTCAGCGGTGAATTAGAGGCGAGAGTGATCAGATGGTTTGCTTACACATGGGCCGAAAGTGGGGCATTGGACGAGGAGCACGTTTTGGCGTCCCTGCCCGATAAACTCAAGGCCGAAATAGCGATTCGTGTACATCTGGATACATTACGGGAAGTTGAGATTTTCAAAGATTGCGAGCCGGGATTATTGGAGGCACTTGTTCTAAAACTGAAACTTCAAGTGTTTAGTCCAGGTGATTACATCTGCCGGAAGGGTGACGTGGGTAAAAAAATGTATATCGTAAAGCGTGGGCGATTGCAAGTAGTGGCAGATGCTGGAACCACAGTGCTGGCAACTCTAGGTGCGGGATCTGTATTTGGAGAAGTTAGTGTTCTGGATATAGCTGGAAATCGAACTGGAAATAGGCGAACAGCCAACGTTCGTGCTCTTGGATACTCTGATCTATTTTGTCTTGCTAAACGCGATTTATGGGAAGCTCTGGCAGACTACCCAGAAGCCAGAGCCACTCTGACTAAGCGAGGTTGTCAGTTATTACAAAAGGTTGGTATTCCTTTTCATAGACGTTTCTGTAAACTCACAAGATGCAAATATTTACAGCACCTAAATCTGGCACTGCGTCACGATTACTACACGCTATTTACCTATCGCTATTAATCTCTAAATGATATAAAGTATAAGCCAACATAACGCACTCATTTATAATGCAATTATGCTTAATACTGATGGTATTAATTATAGGATGGCTTGTTAGATGAAACTGTTTTTGAAAGTGCAAAAACAACTCAGCTCAGCTTAGAAGAACATGTGCGTAAATTGGAATCAACTGTTAATCTTTTAAATAATCGCTTACAAGGACTATTAGCGGATCTAGGACAAGAACAAGCTAAGCTGAAACAACGAATTACCTATATATATATTTATATATATTAATTATTATATTAATTAATTATAAAAAAGATACAATTTTATAAAAGTTTAATACTAACGTTACGTTTGTCTCTGTAAATATTTAAAAAATCTAAGTCAATTCGTGTTAATTATAAATAGTGTTTAACTTGACAAGTTAGTTAATTTTCGGTGAAATTACATTTAACATATAATAATTTTCTTATAATATATAGTTACGTTAGGTATGAAATCAGAAATCATGTTGGTAATTTTCGGAACTAAACATATTATGTTACCAATTGAAACGTTTTTTAATGGAAACAGTGTAAGATTATAATTTATTTAGCGAGAAGGTAATATGTTTGGGACGAGTTGGTTTCAGTTAATTTTGGCTTTAACTTCGAGATGGCATGAATCTATGGAATTTCAAGATTTCCCCTTTTCTTTAGACTTTGTAGTTCTAATATTTAACTTATTAATATATCATAATATGACGTTAGTTAACTGTCACTAAGTGTTAATGTTAGTGATATATTTCAAAAATTATATGTAGACAATTCTATAAATGTTTTGATGTCGAAATAAATAAATAAATACAATTGATTCAAATCTTTTATTACTTTTAATGAAATATTTATCCAATTAGCTAAAATAATATTGTTTTTATGAAATACTTCATCATATATTTATTCACAAAAGAAGTCTACCAAACTTAAATTCTATATACACTAGCGCTATCTTTAGAGGACTTATTGAGAGAAGATTTAGTGAAAAGACATGGCGAAGTATTTGTTGTGCATGTTTGGACACTTTCTATCTGTATTTTTTAAATTTATTTTATGTACAATGTTTGTGGAGAATAGCATAGTTAAATTTTAAGGCAGGAGCTGACAACTATAGACGGCGCACGTAATACACATTTAAGTCATTGTCTGCAATCTAACGGCGATAGTACATACTAAGTGAGACATAACGGGCGTCTTGGCTACGTGGCGGTAATTTATTCCCAGTCTAAGAGTCTTGTATTCTCAATTACAGCGATTTGGTCCGGGAGAAGGTCCCACCGATGCCCCATTTGGGCGATCGTCTACAATCCGATCGCCGAAAATACAGCTATTCTGAGGCAATCGCGACGTGTGATGGTTATAAGAGTGGCTCGGGCAAACCGCACCGTCTAGCCCCCAACAAATAACATCAGTGGTTGGGCGGCACTCTATTGCGGGCTGAAGAGTTTAATGCCACATACACTATGAATTAAGGAAATATATCATATCGCCAAATGCTATGCTTTCCGATCCGTGTCGGATACAAATAAATTTTTAGCTCGATCGCGCGAGAGACACCAAAGTTGCGCTTGCAAGCCGGCATCTTTCTTCCGCCATTTTGATTTGTTACACTACCCCTATTAATTACTCAAGATATTCAACAACTTTTCTAAAAAAAATTGCCTATTACAATGTTACCTATGCCGTCGGCGTGTCCTGGGAAACAGATGGAAAGTTTTTGACTCCAAATTTTTTTTATTAACCACCATCACACCAACCAGATAAAGTGTGGATGTATTAATATCTTTGCCTCGACGCGTCTCGTCTTGTCTCACTAGTTCTCGGCATCAAGTTGTGTATCAAAAGCATTCGGTTTCATCGAGCTATTTCTTATTCTGTATTGTAATTACATATTATAATATTTGGTGACAAAATACGGTAAGCTACAGACGGCGCACGCAAGGAAACGCAGTGTAGACGTGTCATTTGTCTAATGTTTACTCAGTGAGACATGTCAGAACAGACCAGAAATGAAGTTTTTAATATTTTCACCTCGACCTGTTCTGTCTTGCCTCGCTAGTACTCTCGGCTGCAGATTTTGTGAAGACATGCGATTTAACCAAGCTATATTTTGTTTTGTATATTTAATGTTTGAGGACACAATATGACATTCCAAAGACGGCGCACAGAAGGTTACGCTCTCCAGAGTTTAGTTATTATCTGCAATCTAATTGCAGCTGAAAATATCATCTTCGAGAGACATACCAGCCTTGCGATTATGTAACTCATTTTTCGAGCACGTTAAGAGAAAGAGCTGGTAATCACTTCGGCTTCCAAGGTAGAAAGGGCCAAAATAACCCCGTAAACACTGATTCTCTGTAGGTTAAAGTAAAGGTTACTACACAGTAAATGACTGCCTAGAAGACAAAAACGCGTGGCATTAGTTCTAATTATATTGTTATAATTTGTTTTCTTATCTTTGAAGTGTTGTGAATATGTGTGTAATGGTGAATGTGGTAAATCACAGAACAGATTTTTTTTTAGGTATGTAACTTTAATGACGTTGTGGTTTATGACATTGTTCTTTGAATAATTGTAGAGGGAGGGTAAAACTTGCTGAGTTTCTTGTCCGTTCTTCTCAGAACAAGGCCTCCTGGTAGTTTTGCAAACGGATGGCGTAGTCTTGCTCTTTCGCGAATTTTGTAAACGTTTTTGACATTCATAAGCATGCCCTAAGACGCATCTAAACTTAATAAACGTATTTTGATTGATTCATTTCAATGTCTACTGCATGAAGCATTACTTGTTCACATCGTAGCTTTAGTTTTCATACTCACTGTAATTATTGGGACTCATGTGTCTTTTTTCATTTCAGCATTTTAAACCTAGTCAAAATATGTTTTAATTGCTTTGTTTTGTACCATTTTTTATGTCTAAGTTGTTAAGAATCTAATGTGAATTTGTAAAAGAAGCCTTGAAGAGACTGCTCGAAACCGTCGTGATGAGGCCACCCGTTGTCCTCTTTATTATTTAGTTGTTTATAATGTACTGCATTTCTTGCAAAACAATTGCTTGGCAAGACAATATGGCAAGCTACAGACGACGCACGCAAGGTAATGCAGTTTAGACTTGGGTCTATATAACGACGGCAGCTCTACTCAGCTAAGCATATCGTTATAGGTCAAATGCTAGTGTGGTTATATTTCTAGGTTTGGCCCCTAACGACACGCCTCGCTAGTTTTTGGCCGCAGGTTTTGTGTCTAAGCGATTTAACCAAGCTATATTTTGTATTGTATTTTTAATGTTAATCATTGTAATGTTTGAGGATAAAATGTGGCAAGCTACAGACGGTGCACTCAAGGATAAGAAATGTAGACTTGGGTCATTGTTTGTAATACCTAGGCAACACTGAAAATGTTATGAAAATGAAAAGTGGCTTAATGTAGAAAATTGCAAAATACTTTTATTGTTTATCGAAGTAATCTGCGTTCCTCTCTACACATCGTCGCATTCAATGCAACAGCTGAGAAAAGCAGTGGGCCCATTCTTCCTTATGGGTCTCTTCTATGGTATTTTCGTAAGCTTTCACCGCATCTTCAGGGCTGCGTTTAACAAGAGTTTTATATTTGCCGCCAATTCACAAAAAAAATGACAAATAAATGCAATATACTACATTAGGTTACCAAAGAGGTCTAAAATTGAAATTCAAAAAAGTTTTCACTAGCAATGTTTCTAACTGGCCATTTTCAGTGTTACCCACGTATAAAAATTATGTTTAGGCATAATGTCATGAATACTGATGACCGTTGTGACCACCGTTGTGACCACCAGTGGCACGATACTCTGATGCCCCTGTCACACACTCAGATGCACCCATACGGGCAGCGTCCGGGACCCCAAAGGAGAGGGCAGCGGCTGGGGTTGCGCCAAACCGGGCTGTACCCCTGACCATGCCCAATCCGATGGAATCCCAAATACCACCGCACAAGGATGTGCCCACTGCTGCGGCCAGGTTGACTGCGTCGGTCGAGCCAAAGACAGCAACTCCGGATGATGATACAGCGTTGTCTTGTTCTGAAGGGGGTGCATCCGCGGCTAGAACGATGCGGAAGACCGAGGCTGCGACGGAGGGCACGTCCAGTGCACTAACCTCGACCATGGATATGTCGGCCCTGAAAACTGCAACTCAGGAGCCGACTTTCAAAATGGTCGTAAGCAGCTCTAAAAGGCGACGGCACAGGAGAGTCATAAGGGCGACGGAACAGCAGAAGCTGGTTACCGGCGCTCCGAGGCTACCTGTGAAACCTGGAACTGCCCCCGCTGTAACCACAGTAGAGAGAGGCGGGAAAAGGACACCGAAGCCAAAAAGGTCTACTGCCGCGCCCGAGCCTGGTTGCTCTGGGTGCGGTAAGGGACCTAGAGCGCTTAACAAAGCTCAAAAAACAAACCAAGCAAAGAAGGGCCAGAAGCGCGATCGGCCAGAGGAAACCGTGACACCGACTGGGGAGAGTAAAAGGGTCAAACCCAACAAACCCCAGACGGTGGCAGGGACCTCGGCCAGTTACGCGGAAGCGGCAGTTTCATACAAAGCTAACGAGCTTTGTGTTGCCGTGATGACTGAGCCTTTCGTTGACATGACGCAAGAACAGGCGGATAACATCCGCCTACAAATCGAGGGTAAGATTCAAGATGAGCTCTTGGCGGATCTTGAAGCTACCCTGACAACCGAGCCTAACGACATCAGGTTCCGGGGTAAGGCCCATTTCTCGGATGGTGTCCTCAAAACTTGGTGCGAGGACACTTACACACTGAGTTGGCTGACCGGAACTTGTGATGTCATCACAAATCCCGTACCTGACACCAGGTTGGTGGTTTGGCCTCAATCGGAGATTCCGAATAAAATTCCGTGTCTGCTACATGTACCAGAGTTCAGTGGCAACACGGAAACACTGAGGAAACTGATTACGAGGCAGAACCGCCACCTCAATATCAGATCTTGGACACTGACGCACGAACGAAGAACGCAGGACCCGACAGGCGTGTCTCTCTTCTTTCGTGTGCCGGAGTTTGAGATCTCTAAGATCAAAGAACACGAACGGATATACTACCTGATGGGGAACATCTACATCCGCATTCTGGATAGAGATGAACCCTCACAGGTGGCCAACGCCCCACCAACTGCTGCCAGCACATCGGGGGTGGCGTCCTCGAGGCCAAAGCTGCCCACGTCTATGACGGGGGTAGATGCGGTCGCCGGGACACACGTCCCTATGGAGG